AGCTGCTCTTTGTCCCGAACCTTTCAGCTGGGGCTCGGCCGAGCAAACCTTGATCTCACTCGGGGTGGGAAGTGGAGCATCCAGGTGGTCCCGCTCCTCGGCACCCCTCGCAGAGCAGGAAAGGTGTGGGTTCCTGCACTCCCTCAAACAAATACACCTCATCCCTGCTAATCCAAAGGGATGTTTATTAGCCTTTTTTCCCTTTTCTCTCTCAAGCAGCTTTTTTTTTTCTTTTTCCCTCCCCCAGTGCCTGACTTGTGTCCCTAATTAACACCTTAAGAGGGGGGTGAGGATAACCGAGATACTTAAGGAGGGCACTTCTGGGCAGAGCTTCTAATCTACCTCTCAGGGAGGGAGGGGACCCATTAGCAGGTGATTTAAGGGAGTAATAAGTCCATCAACATGTAAATGGCCACGGCCCGATGAAAGGCTTGGCTGGGGCACAGCTGGGCCACAAGGGCACGTCGAGCCTCCCCCCCTCCGGGAATCTGGCAGGGATTGTCCCCCAAATCCCGGGGCCGAGCGGCTGGGAGAGGGAAGGGAGGCAGCTGCAGGGGGGTGGATGGATGGATGGATTTTGTGGGGTGGGCAAAGAGCGAGCGCGAGTTTTGGGTGAGAAAGTGGCGCTTTGCCAGCCTAGGAGCGGTGAAAGGAATCCACAAGGAGGTGGAGGAAGGTGATCCAGGAGCCGCGGCAAAGAGGTGAAGCTGCTGCTGCTGCTGCTGGAGAAAACAAAGGTTTTCCCCTCCTTTGAAATAACTGTGGAGCAAGACATGGGAACAAGCGGTTGTTGCTTGTGGTGGAAGGGGAGGATGATCTCCTACAAGGACGGGCGCTGGGGTTGGGCTTTGCAGCTTTACTCGCCTTTTATTTTAATTTTTAATATTAATTCTGTAGGGGGCACGCACCCAGGAGAGGTAAATCTGGGGGAAAAACCACCAAAGAATCATTAAGGTTGTAATAAAAACCGTCTAAGAACGTCGAACCCAACCAAAATCCCAGTAACCAGCCAAGAAAATATTGCAGGACAATCTGGTGACACCAAGTGACTCCAGAAGCACAGAACTGTGGAAAATGTAGGGTGAGGTAGGAGCACGTTCCCAGGAAAAGTTTGGCTGCTCTGAGCTGGCAAAGAGATGACTAAGGGGGGGTGGGAGATGTCTGTGAAGCTGAGGAGGGGACCGAGGGGTTATTTGTGTTTAGCACAACACAGAAGAGAGAGATGGACTGTTCAGCTTAAAAACAAACCCAAGCTCTGTGGTCACAAAACGAAAACTCAAGTTTGAAAGAATCAAGTGACCTGGGGACAAAGCACATCCACGGAAAACAGAGATTTGGATGCAACTATTGGTAGAGGGAATCTCTAAATGGTGGATTTTATTTAATTAATTAATTATATTATTAATTATTTATTTATTTGTTTAATTATTACTTTGGGGTTGTTTTTCTTGGATATTAGCTACTGAAGGCCCTGCTGTTGCCACTTTGAGATGATCCAGGGCTGCTATCAGACCCACAGGGAAGCCTTAGTCCATCTCCACTTATTTATTTCTTTATGATTTGACACCAAACCCTCCTCTGAAACACCCCATCGGTTCAAGAGGCTGATTTTGAGAAGGGTAGGTGATTCTTCTGGTGGGAGGTGTCCCTGCCCATGGCAGGGGGTTGGAATGAGATGATCTCTAAGGTCCCTTACAACCCAAGCCATGAGGCCAAAGGCTGGAAGAATGTGTTTCAAGACTGGATCACTTGCTCTCCCTTTTTTTTTTTTTGTTTTGTTTTAATTAGTGCTGAGATCCAAGTCACAACAAATGAAAGTATTTCTATCCAGTTTTGATCTTGCACCTTAATCCTCTGTTTTCCATGGATATACAGGAGCATTTGTAGCTTTATAGCCAGGCTTGTGGCCCTTCAAAATGCTGATTTCACAGCTTGGTGAGAAGCTGGACAATCCTGGAAGTCAGGTAGGAT